GGGGGTGGGGGCACCGGTGCCCGTCTGGGGAGGGAGCAGGCGGAGGGGGTAAGCTGCGATTACAAGCAGGAACCGGCAGCAGCTGTGAGTCCCCGGCTGGGGCTAGGGCGGGGGGAGGGGAGCGGCGCCGGGGCCAGGCCCCGGGGGTCGTGGGGTGGGCAGGAGGAGGGGGCGGGAGGTTGGCAGGCAGTTTGCACAGGATGACTGGGAGGGGACAGGTCCGGCGTCGGCCTCCCGCATTTCCCCTGTCCCCCTCCGCCGCCTGTCCTCAGGCCGCGCCGCCTCCGGAGCCCCTTCCCTGGCCCGGGAGGACGGCTCGGGCCCCTGGCTCGGCCGGCTGTGGGGGAGGGGGCTGCATGGTTTCAGCCCAGGAGAGGGGAGGGGCGACAATTTCTGTCGGCCGAGCTAAAGGGGTTTAAAGGGCGGCTCTTAAAGGGGCCGCAGGAGGGGCCGGGGCCGACTTGAGGCACCCCTTCCCCATCCGCCTTCCATTGCGCTCACCCGGGGCCGCTGGGCCCAGAGAATGCGGAGGAAGGTGGGGAGGCCCAGGGGACAGAGCCCCGCAAGTCAGGGTGAGCCCGGGGTGGCGGGCAGGGGTCTGGGGGGTGTGGTGAGCGCTGGCGCGCGGAGTTGGGGGCAGGGGATGGCGTGGGAAGGAGAGGGTTAAAGGTGGGGCCGGCCCTACAAACGCGCGCACACACTCCTTACTCAGACCCAGTCACACGCGTGTTCGTGGCACCTAGATGAGGCTGGGGGGCGGTATTGGGGCCTTCGCCTGAGCCTTTTGCACCCCAACTTCGGGAGGTCGGTGTCCCCCACTGTCTTAACTCACACCTCATGGCGAGCCCCCGCTCCCGGGCGCACACACGCTCCAGCGCGCACACACACCTCGGACATTCCCATAGTGCCTCACGTGACACACGGCCCGAACGTGCCACCCTTCCCACACGCTCACGCACGCGTGCACACACGGCCTCCTGGGCACTTCCCAACTCCACGCCGACCCTCCTCCGCCCCCAAGGCACTCATTGACTGTGACACACCTACACTCATTCACAGACACACTCCCCCCACATGCCAGCCACAGACACACATTCATAAACAGGCCCGGAGAAGTACACACGCACCCCCTCACTGCCTACTCTTTTTTTCGGGAGCCCTGAGTCATTCCGGCCCCCTCTCAGGGTTCCCCATTTCCCTGTGTGCGGGCACACAGGGACGGGCATGGGGATTCGTTAGCGTCCCCTTCGCCTGAGGCCCCTTCCCCAGTTTGCTGCCTCTGACACTCAGCCAAGGACTTCCTGTAGGTCCCAGGTCAGGGCCCAGAAGAGCCTGGATGGTTGCCACAGCCCCCGCGCTCGCTGGTGCTCGTGGGGGAGGCACTTCCCTTTCCTGAACTCCGGGATCCTGAAGGAGGAAGTGGGGAAGTTGGGCGGGGGCGCCCCAGAGGGTGTGCCCACTGTGGCGGGCTGACCCTCCCAGTAGTGCTGGGCCTTCCTTAGGGAGGAGCTGGGGTGCCAGAGGCCTGGGCTGAGGAGCTTGGCAGCGAGGTATTTGGGGAGGTGAGGCCTCGGGTGGAGAAGCGCTGAGGACGGAGCCCAGGCAGGCTCCGGTCTGTGCCGTGGTAGGGAAGGCAGCCCTCTCCCATCCACAGGTCTCCCTGGGTTCTGGAAGGAGCCCTTCCCTGCCGCTGGCCCGGTTTACTTGTCCTTATTTGTCAGCCCCCAAGTCTTCACCTGGTTCCAGCCTGTTCCCCTAAAGGCAGCAGAGAGGATGGGGCTTAGTAGTCTAAGCTACTAAGGGGGGAAGGGGCTGTGGGAGTCCCCTCCTGAGCTCCAGGCATGAAGCTTCCAGGCTGCATCTCAGCTGGCCCGGGAGCATCAGCCTGGATGAGGGGTGTCAGGGACAAGTTCCAGATGGCCCTCTCCACGGTGGCTCCTGCTCTCTCAGGGGGCCCGGTGTGGGCTGCAGCCTGGGCCCTTGCCATGGAGTCCATGTTTGAGGATGACATCAGCATCCTGACCCAGGAGGCCCTGGGGCCCAGCGAGGTGTGGCTGGATGGTCCTGAAGACCCCTCGCTGGGGGGGGACATGTGTTCTGCCTCCCACTTTGCCCTCATCACGGCCTATGGAGACATCAAGGAGCGACTGGGGGGTCTAGAGAGGGAGAACGCCACCCTCCGCCGCCGCCTCAAAGTCTACGAGATCAAGGTCAGAACTTGGAGATGAGGGGTCCAGTCGTGTGTGTGGGAGGACGGGGCAGGATGGCAGGAACTGACCCGGCAGAGATCCCAGGGATCCAAAAGGGGGGTGAGGGTGCGGACTCTTGGGAACCTGATGGTCTCCCATGAGAAATGTGGCTGCTCTGGATGGGAACTCTGGAGAGCCCAGCAGCCAGGTGGGGGATTGGCTTTGGAGTGGCTGGACCTGGGATCTAGAAAAGATCTGGTTGGTGGGAGAGGCCTACAGGCCCAGGGATCCCACTGGAAAGGGGGAGGGAGAGGCAGGGACTTTGAGACAGGGGAGGGGGCACAGTGAGGCTGAGGCATGGGTGGGGAGTGGGTGCCAGCTCCTGAGGCCCTGCCCCTCCTGCAGTACCCACTGATCAGTGACTTTGGAGAGGAGCATGGCTTCTCTTTGTACGAAATCAAGGATGGCTCCCTGCTGGAGGTGGAGAAGGTCAGTCTGCAGCAGCGGCTCAACCAGTTCCAGCATGAGGTGAGCCCTTCAGCCTGCCAGCTTGGGCTCAGCTCCCAGGGCTTCCTGCTCCAGTCTGTTTCTGAACACTACCCTCCAGCCCCTGGTCTTCTGCCCCTTTGATCAGAGACGGTTCTCCCTATAACCAGCTGCAGCTTCTCCTGCCCCTCCATAGGGTGCTGGGAGCGGGGGTGGGGAGGTTCCGGGAGTTCCTCAGGCTTAAGTCCAGGATGGGACTGACTCTGTGGTGTGCACCTCTGGCCCCATCCAGTTGCAGAAGAATAAGGAGCAGGAAGAACAGCTCGGGGAGATGATCCAGGCTTATGAGAAACTCTGTGTGGAGAAGAGTGACTTGGAGACGGAGTTAGGGGAGATGGTGAGGCCCAGGGAGCTGGCGGGTGCTGGAGGGTGTGCGCCTGGGGGTGTGTGCGTGTGTAGTTCTGTGTGTGAGCATTCCAACCTTGGGATTGTGTGCAGGCCCATGCTTCACACTCCACTTGCGTGCACCCTGCTTGGGTTGATGTGTACCTGTGAGTGTCTGTTGCGCCTTGTGAGGGAGACTGTGTCTGCCATCCAGGTTGTGAATGACTCTGGGGGACACTGTGTCTCCGTGTGCCTGTTTGGTTCTCATGCTGGGTGGACCCTATGCCTGTGAGCACTGCCCCTGGCGGGTTGTGTGGGTGAGGGCAGAGGGGACCAGGAGTGCGTGTGACTGCCGGGATGGGTCTTGGCGTGTGTGAGATTGAAAGTCAGTGGCCATTCATGTGAGCAGGTGGGCAGGTGTCAGAATCAGGAGACCTGGTCTCTGCCCTCCCCTGGCTGTGACCTAAGCCTCAATCCCTCCTCTGAACAGTGGGGCAAATAATACACCAAGCTTTTGTGAGGGTGATGGGTCATTTGTGTAAAAGTGCTTTGCCTTAATAGTCATAGACATTTATGTGGCCCCTAGTGTGTGCCAGGCACTGTTCTTATCTCTTGACACGTTAACTCATTTTAATTCTCACCACAACCCTAAGAGGTAGGTGTGGTGCTCTCATCCCCATTTTATAGATGAGGTAGGTAAAGCCCAGAAGTGGTTAAGTCACAAGTTAAATGGAAGTTGTGATGCTCCTGAGGGGAGTGGAGGTGTCTGGACAGGGGGCTGGGTGTTCTCAGAAGTGTCCCTGTGTCCCAGAGAAGAGGGCTTAACTTGACCTTGCCAGGGGCAATAGCCTGAAACATCTGCATGATGGTTGCTGGAAGAGACCTGACACTCAGGCCACTTGGATAGTGGGCTTGGGATGTGTGATCTGGGGCCTCTGGTCTGGTTTGGGGAGTGATGACTGTCCAGACATGGGGAAGTCCTGAGCCTGTGTGGGCCCTCACCCCTCTGTCTCCCCCTCCAGCGGGCCCTGGTGGAGACCCACCTGAGGCAGATCTGTGGTTTGGAGCAGCAGCTGCAGCAGCAACAAGGCCTCAGGGACGCAGCCTTCCCCAGCCTGAGCCCCCCGCCAGCCCCTGGCCCACCCTGTGCTGATCTGGACCTGCACTACCTGGCAGTGAGAGGGGGATCTGGCTTGAGTCACGGTGAGATCTCAGCGACCTCTACTTGCTCACCCCCAGGTCCCCGAGCCTGACCCCCATTTCAACACCACTGGACACCTCCAGCTTACTTAACATCCCATCGTAGCTTATATTTCTCCCATAATCATCCCATCCTCCCTTACCAACTCTTCCCTCACCTCATTCACTGTTACCACAGTTTCTCCCCTTCTAACACCAGCTTTCTTGATCAGTCCTTGGCTGCCCATTGCAATTCCTGTGTGTGCCAGCAGAGGGTGCCCCCTCCCAGAGTCCCCCTGCCTGCCCCAGCTAGTGAGTAGGAGAGGCCCCTGCGGGTGCTCTAGACTTCAGCTTTGGCCAGGAAAGCCTTCAAGAGCACATCATTTTTTTCCTGGCCTCCAGGAAGATTAGAAAATGCAGCTCAGCCCATCTCCCCTCACTGCCCTTGTAGAGATAACTCTTCTCCTTTATCCTTCTGGCTTCTGTCTCGGATCCCCTGTGCTGTGGTCCTCGCCTGTTCCACTTTGTGCAGATCTGGGAGTTGGTGGAGGCAGCCTGAGCAAGCCTGGTGTTGTCCTCTCCCCTGACAGCAGGCTGGCCAGGCCCCACGCCCAGCGTGAGTGAGCTGGAGCGGCGGCGGCTGGAGGAGGCTCTGGAGGCTGCCCAGGGAGAGGCTCGGGGGGCTCAGCTCCGGGAGGAGCAGCTGCAGGCGGAGTGCGAGCGGCTGCAGGGCGAGCTGAAGCAGCTGCAGGAGACCCGGGCCCAGGTGAGCAGTGGGGACGCTGTACGCAGACTGGCCCCCGGAATGGTGGAGAAGGGGTCCGGGCGGGCCAGGTGAGGCTGGGTTCTGACCTCTCCATCTTCCCCCTCAGGATCTGGCCTCCAACCAGTCGGAGCGGGACATGGCGTGGGTGAAAAGAGTTGGGGACGATCAGTAAGTCACGTCTGTAACCCTTGCCCTCCAACCTCTTATTCTGGGGGTGGCATAGCCCAGGTCCCCCTTAGGTTCGCTCCTCGTCCCTCCATGTTACTTGGGTGGCCTCTCTTCCCAGCTGTCTTGGGTGTGGTGTCTGGGTTGCCTGTCACTGTGCATCCGTCATAGGAAGGAGGTGAGGTTCTGGAGAGTTCCAGTTCTGGGTCGTCCCTCTGGAACCCAAGCCCATCTGTTCTCAAGGTGTCAGCAGCTGAGAGATTTACTCAGCTGCTTTATGACAACGTTCTGTGCCCCCTGGTAGGTTTGTGGGCCTCTGTGGGGCCCCATTTTCTATGCCAGTAACAAGGCCAGCCAGTTGGGTTCACCTTCTGCCCCATTGAGGAGGAAGGAGACGGCCTCTTTCAGGATTCGTTGGGCCTTGTCCACTGATCTCAGGAGAGAAACGTGAGGCTTAGAGGCAGGAGGGGCTTCCTTGGGTTCACAGCAGTGTGTGGGAAGTGGAACATACTCTGCGGGGGTGTCCTCTTGAAATCCTACCTGGAAAGAGGGGTAGCAGCGGGTAGGAAGGGGTAGCTGTGTCTCTGGGGAGCCTAAAGCCAAGGGCTCTGGGGGAGCACTGGACAGCAAGGGGGGGTGGGCAGCTACCCAGCAGCAGTGGAGCCTGGTGCCTTTCACATCCGCACCCAAATTCACCTTCTCCCACTTTCTGAGAATTAGAGCTCAAACCGCCTTCTGCCCAAGTCCTCTCCCCTGAGATGAGGTGTGTGGCACAGACTCCCTACTTTCATTGGAGGGGAAGACTGAGGCCGAGAGCGGGGCAGGAACTAAGCCTCTGTCACACAGCCCTCCCGCCTAGCAGGCTTCCTCCTCATCTTCCTCCCATCCTCTGGCCAACTGGGGATACCCCTCCCCTCTCCCCCCCGCTGGGGTGAGGGCCTGGGTGGAGCTGTGATAGCTGGGGGGTGAGAACCCAGTTTGTGGGACTGCTGGGTGGGACCCCTCAGCTAGGCCTTGCTGAGAGGGTCCACCCTAGCCTGTGGCTGGAGCTCAGAGCCATCTTAGCCTGGGTGCCCAGATGCAGAACACACACATACATATACACACTCTAGAATCCTAGCTCGTCTCAGAAGTCATGCTTTCTGGGTCACTGAATCCAGTCCTCTCTTTTAAGACCAGCAATGAAGTTTCCTCTAACTGACAGCACTCTGAGAAAGGATGTTTTGGCAGGGCTGGAGTCTGACCATTCAGGCTGTGAGTCCCAGGGATCCTTCCAAGGATGCTAAGTGGCTTTGCTTTACTGACTTGGGCTTCACCTTTCTGGATCCCAGGTTCCCCTCATGGGCTCAGGGGTCAGTTGTGGTGGATTGGGGGGCAGGCAGAGAAGGGGTGGTGGATCCCCAGGGGCCATGGCTATCTGTGCCTGGGTGAAAGTGCACCCATCCCAGAAGGTGCTTCGGAGGTTGTGTCATCCACGGTGCTCACTCTGGCCAGAGCAGGCCCTGCCCTCCCCACCCCACGGCACCTGCCCCACACAGGCCCCTTGGCGACAGGGAGCCAGGCTTACCAGAGGTGACCTCCTGCTTCCTCCCCACCTTCCCTGTGTTTGGACCCTTCCTTGGACCTCCCGGATCTCTGCGCTGGAGCCAGCCGGGCCCTGCCTGCCCAGCCCTACACTTCCTTTCCGGCCGAGCATCTCTGGACAGCCCCAGCTTGGCAAGAGTTAATTCTCAGAGGAAGTCCTCACTCCCCCGGTAGTTTTATTTTCTTATAAACTCAGCTCCTTTTGGTAATAGGCCGCTTCCCGAGTGCTCCTTCCCCATCCTCCCACCTGAGGAGGCCTCTGACACCTGCTCTGGGCCCCCCTTCCCCCACCAGCGCCCCCTCTTTCTTCGATTTCCACTTGACCCTCCAGGCTAGTAGGACTATTACCAGTGACTTTTGCAGGAGTGGAACACCGGGCTGGGTTGTCCGGATGAGGACGTAATGGGGTGATAGGAAAGCTGACGAAGGACACATTCCTGAGTCCCGCCTGCTCTCATGTGGGAACCTTCTGTATCCGAAAGTGGCCGCCTGTCTCAGTTTGGATGCCTCCAGGGCAGCCAGTTTTACTGCAGGAGTCCTGGTGGTTAACACACCCTCCCTTTCTCTGTCCCCTCCCTGCGTCCTGTTGGAGCTGACAGGGGCCTAGGAGTCAGCCCCAGTCCCGGGTTTCCCATTCCTTCTCCTCCCAGCCTCTGGCCCACGAGCTCTGGCCATAGTGTCCCTGTGAAAACAGACACCCAGACTAGACCAGACCAGACTGCCACCCTCCAGGTCTGACCTTGGGACCTGGTCAGCACAGCTCCTGGTGGCCAGAGCCCAGGGAGACAAATTGCCCCAGAGGAAGAGCCACTGGGGGTCAGGGGCCAAAGCAGTGATGAAGGGGGAGGTGGGAGTGGAGCCCACCTGGCTGGTGAGGACGCACAGGAAGCTAAGGACCCGGGAGTGTCCCAGCCGAGGCAGAGCTGCAGAAACCACGGCCCCCTCCCCTCTGGGCCCAGCTCATAGGCATAGGCCTTGATGGCGCCTTTTGGAAGGTGTGGCCAGTGCTCGGGGAGGAGAACTTGGGGGGACTCCTTGGGATGGATGAGGGCTCCAAGGGGGCAGGGGTCTGTGAGGGGAACAAGGGCTCAGTGAGGCAGGGGGCTCAGCTGTGCGGGGTCCATCAGTGAGGGGCCCAGTGGGAAGATGGGGACTCAGGATGGGTGATGAGGGGAAAACTATAGGCCTTTCTTTTTTCCCATCGTGGGGGGCTCACTGTTGCAGCCTGGGCCCTTTTCCGCCCCCCCACCCCACCCCTCTCTCCGCCCACAAGCCTCTGCGTGGGCTGCGGTTAGTGGTGGGGAAGAAGTGTGAACTCGAGAGAGAGGATGGAAACTCTGCACCGAGGTCAAGGGCAGTGTGGGGTGGGTCAGGACGGAAGCTGGAGACCCCGTGTACCCTGAGCGTAGCCTCATGCCCCAGAACAGCGGGCCCAGGGCCTCCCCCTTCACGCTTCTCACCCTCCCTACTTCCTTTCTTTCAAGTCTCCTTTGGCCGGGCACCCAGCACTCACAGGAGTTAACCCCTGAACACTTGCAGCGTGGGGGCTCCCTGAGGGTGGCGAAGGGCTCTGAGGTTGGTCTGCGGGATGGGTGGGCTTCCAGCCTCCGTCTTTGATCCTTCGCCTGCCAGCAAGGCGGACAGCAGTTCTTACCCATGCTTTCTCCCTCGATGGGAAACTTCACATCCTCCCCTCCCTCTAAACCAAAGTCATTACGCTGGTGTCTCCGAGTCTCACAGCGGGTCTCCCCCACATCTGTCTCCTGGGCACTCCCCTGATTCTTGTCCATGCCAGATGCTGTGTGAGGCGATTCCCCTACACAGTCTCGGTTCATTCCCATAAACAATGTCATATAGGCATTGTCCCCCTTTTACAAATGAGCAAACTGAGGTGCAGAGAAGTTCAGTAAGAATTCCAATGCAGATAGCAAGCGGGTCCTGGGGAAATGGGGCGACGGTACCTCTGTGGTGTTTTTCTTGTTCAGCTTCTTCAGGTGGAAGGCTCTTATATAAGGGGCGACCATATGACTTGTTGACCAGACTGGATCAGTTTTGAAAGTGAAAGGCGCACTATTAATAATTGTGCTGGGGCAACTAGTGTGAACCAGGACAGTCCTGGGCACACTGACCTGTGGGCATGCCATTTAAGTGGGGACCCTGGTCTGCAGGCCTAACCACGAGCTGCTCAGTTCAGCTGCATGTGGGAGGCTTTCTAGACACGGGGCATCAGCTTGGGTGGAAGCGTGGCAGGGGCTGCCAAGAAGAGCCGGGCTCTGGGGACCGCAAGTCATAGCTGGTTGAGGAGAGTGAAGGGGCTCAAGGCGCCTAAAAGGAAGTGGTGGAGCGCTGGGTTGTTGCAAAGCGACTTCCTCCTCCCCCCTGGCCCGCAACCTCAAGTCCGCTCCACGGCCTGGTGCCTGTGGTCCCCTCCCCGAGGGTCGGGCGGGAAGACTGACACTGGGTGTGCCTGTGGGTGGTGGAAAGTTCGGTCCTTAAATTCCCCCACAGGGGTGAGGTGGCCAGAGCAGCTGGGGGCAGCTATGGGCAAGGATGGAAGGGCTGGCAAGGCTGTATTTCTGTTTTCCTCCCAGTTCTGAACCAGACAGTGATTCTGACCTCATGACCAGCTCTAATCCTCACCCCAGTCCTAACCCTACTACTGCTTCCAACCCTGACTCCAACCCTGTCCCTAATCCTGACCCCAGCTCTGTCCATAGTCTCCGCCATATATCAGCTGTCAACCCCATCCCCAGTTGTAATCCCATGACCGAGCGCTGGCTTGAATTCTGACCCCACGGCATCCTCACAGTGGCTCCCACGCAGCACAGGGCACTAGGAAGCCTAAGTGTCCCACGGCTGGTTTGGGCAGACAGAGGCCTTTTACGGAGGAGGATGCTTGAGTCTCTAACCTTACCGATCTCAGTTGGAAGATTATTGTTTCCAGAACAATTTCTGAGATCCCTGACTTATTCGTGGAAAGAATGAATGAAAGGATAAGTCAATGAACGGTGGAACGATTGGCGGCCAAGGGGGCCCTCCTTCCTGCCAGCTCTGCCATTTGCACTTTGGCTCCTCGGAAGGTGCCAGCTCAGCAGGCCGAGGTGCCAAGAGCCTGTGTTTGAATCTCTGCTCTGTGCCACCACCGGTCTGTGACCTTGAGCCAGCCTCTTAATCACTCTGATCTTCCACTTCCACATATGTCTAGCACCTTCCTCTCCCCTCCCAGGGCAGGGGTGGCAAATCTCAGGGCTCCCAGGCCACTTCCAAGGTCCCCAACCTCCCCCTCTTCATCCTTCCCTTCTGCTGCCTTCTTGCCTTTCCTCTCCCCCACTTCACCTTCTTTGGTGGGCAGTATAGCGTAGTGGTCGGTAGCCTGCACTTTGGAGTCTAGGTCCTAGAGCATAGGGCTCCCATTCCAGCGATTCTACTACTATGGGGCTTTATGACTTTGGTCAAGTGACTTAACTTCTGTGAGCCTCAGTTTTCTTATCCGTTAAATGGAGATAATATTAGTGGCAAAGTCATAGAGTTGTGAAGATGAATAAAGTCCTTAGCACATTGCCTGGCCCTGTGATAAGTGCTCATGAAGATTATCTATGATTCTTTTCTCCCTGGGTCCCTCCCACGTTCTGAAAGACTCAGGTAGAACTTTTCCATGTGATTTAAGCAATAAAGAAGCAGCCACCTGCTGCGTTCACCTGACCCCTTCTTCCTAAACAGTCGTGACGGTGGAAAAAGCACTCAGGTATGGGCCAGGAAATGGAATGTGTATTTAGGTGCACGTGTGTGACTCTTGGTTGTGTTGTGAGGTTGAGATTTTTTTTCCACTGAATTGGCAGTGTTTTTAGTGAGTCATTCGGGTTGTTAGTGTGCTCAGCGACTCAGGCCTATGCATTGTGAGGTAGGGAGGGACGCCCGATGAAGGGGGCAGTCCCAAAGGGCACAGGGCATCAGGAGGAGGTCAGGTGCCATCACATTGCCCAGGGACTCAGTGGTCTCTGTGAGGGGTGCCTGGGCTCTGGGAGAACAGTACCCGGCTGCCCCAGACCCCCGTGTCAGAGTTGGGAGAGGGCTGGGCCTTCTGGGCCGCCTGCCCTGCCTGTTTGTTGTGAGGAGGTGGCAGGAGCTGGGAGGTGGAAACTCGGGTAGCTCCTGACAAGGGGAGCCAGGCAAGCAGGAGAGCGACGGGGTCTGGGAACTGAGTGTGGCAGGTGAGAGCTCTGAGGCGGGGTGTGAAGACGACGACCTGTATCTGTCACCTGAGATACAGCAGTGAAGGTGGATGGGGAGAGAAACTGGCTGTGTGGACAGAGGACCACATTCCATCAGACCCCTGCCCAGACGCCCTCCTGTCCTTGCCACTGAGGGGGTAGCATGGTCCTGCCCCCTAAAAGCCCCAGTCTGATGGGGGTCACACAGCTCCTGCCCTCAGATGCCCTTGGTCAGAAGGGGGAGCCTTCCCTTGGGGAGTCCCCGATTTGATGTGGGACACACTTGGATCCCTATTCTGAAAGGAGAGACACCATTTCTCCCCACAGACCCATAAGATGAGGATGGGGAGCATAGAAAGGCCGAGGTGTGGTGGGATGGAGGGCCACAGAACCTGTGCAGGGGTTCCCAGGGGGACTCCTTCCTTTCTGTGCTTGCCCGCCCCTGCCTACCATCAGATGGGCAGTGAGGACACTGCCTAAGAAGAGAGCTTGTCTCCCGAGACCTGGACTGTTCGCAGTAATTTGGCTTCGGCCCAAATGGGTTAAAAGTAGTTTTGTTGTGGGAGGGACCAGGTTATTTTGTTTTTTTTTTTTTGAGACAGGGTCTTGCTCTGTTCCTGGGCTAAAGTGCAGGGTGTCATCATAGCTCGCAGCAACTTCAGTCCAACTGCATCTCCTGGGCTCAAGTGATCCTCCTGCCTCAGCCTCCTGAGTAGCTGGGACTACAAGCGCACACCACCATGCCTGGCTTTTTATTTTTTTGTAGAGGTGGGGTCTCACTATTTCCCAGGCTGGTCTCAACGTTCTGGCCTCAAGCAATCCTCCTACGTTGGCCTCCCAAAGTGCTAGGATTACAGGCCTCGTGAGCCACCATGCCCAGCCAGGAGGGGCCATTTCTGTCCCAGGATTAGCAAGGGAGCCCAGTCATTATCTTCCCTCTCCACCTCAAGCTTTTCCTGCCCTCTGCATCCCTAACCTCAAGACTTCCCCACCTCTTTCCAGGGCCACTTACCTGCCTTTGCCACCCATCCACATGCATCCTCTCCCATGTCCGTCCATCACCATGGGATGGGGAGGGGGCCCTCAGGGCTCGAGAACTTGGGCCCCCTCCTTGACCTCTCTGTCCTGGAGCCAGCAACCTCCCCCACTTCACTGCTGTATCTCAGGTGACAGATACAGGTCATCATCTTCATACCCCGCTTCAGAGCTCTCACCTGCCACACTCAGTTCCCAGACCCCGGAGGAAACACCTGCTGTTTCCCTCCAGCTCCATCTTCCACAAAGTTCCCGAGTCCCTTCTGGAGTTGGGAGGTGGGGAGAGCCAAAGGAAACCAAAATTTCTACCTTCAGGGAGATCCCAGGCTGTGTCCAAGCCCAGAACAGAGACAAAGGCAGGACCTAAGGCCACAGCTGAACCTCCTGTGAGGTCCAGCGGGGCTCCCAGGCCGCACAGGCCACAACAGGAGAAAGTGGGGAGCAGTGCTAGAGTGATGACCTCCACAGTTCTGGGTTCCAAGTGGCCCAAAAAGAAAGGAAGGGGAAAGGAAGTGGGTGGGATTCCTTGCTAAACTCAAGTCTGTCCCAGGTCCATGAGGGTGGGTGGCCAAGAGGTCTGAACAGAAACCAGGGAGGAAGCAGGGGAAGAAGAAAGAAAAATGGAGAGGCTGGATTCATTATCCACTTACTGGGTTCCAGGCCCTGGACAAGGTGCTAGGAATGTAAATACAATGATCGAATCCCCACTGTGGAGGAGCTCCCAGGAAGGCAGCCTGTGAGAAGTGCTCAGTGTGAGTGGTGCCCCCTGCAGGTGTGCAGGGCACAGCAGCTGTTCACACAGATCTCAACAGAAAGGCGTGGGTGGAGTCATGTAGCTGGGCTGAAAAGAGCCCAGAGGCAGCTTTGAGGTCGAGGCAGGAGCCCTGGGCCTGGCCGACTTGGGGTTGAGTTTATCAGTTGGCACCACTGCCAGCCAGGAGGCTCTGCATAGGCTGTGCGGCAGGGTCCTCCACCTTTTCAAAGTGAGCACTCTTCATGGGCCCCTGTCCCCAGCATATGGATGGTGCTTGTACCTTTAGTATGCGCTTTGAGAAATGTCACAGTGATAACAGCTACTATAAATTCAGCACAGCTTTTTGATGAATCTGTTTTTTTCATCATCACAGCTCTTGCACAGATTAGAAAAACATTTGTAAAGACCTGTAGGAGCTGTGTTCAGGCCACAGACAGTGCTGTGTGCACACAGGGATTCAGGGGCCCCTTAGAATCACTGTGTTCCCTGTCCTGGCATGGTGTCTGGCAATCCCTGCCCTAGCCCCAGGGAATGATTCTCTGGAAGCAGAGGGAGGCTCCCTGGAAGAGGTGGCGTTTGAGTTGGACCTTAAAGGTGGGTAGGGCCAGATGCCAGGGCAGAGCCAGTTTTTCCTCCACAGCTGGGACTGGAGACCCATGTTCCTTGTCCTCTTTCCCACTCCCTGCCCTCTGACCTCAGGGTGAATTTGGCGCTGGCCTACACGGAGCTGACAGAGGAGCTGGGCCGGCTTCGGGAGTTGAGTTCCCTGCAGGGGAGGATCTTGAGGACCCTGTTGCAGGATCAGGCCCGGAGCGGTGGTGAGATGGGGCGGGACCCTGAGGGCATCCTCAGCTCCTCCGTTTCTGGAGAGGGTGGGCGTTGGTCCGCGCAAGCCCCTGGCTCCCAGTAATGACGTCTTCTCTCCACACCTTCGTCCCCCAACCCTGTCCTTTCTCTTCCAGGCCAGAGGCACTCGCCTCTGTCGCAGCGCCACTCCCCGGGCCCCCAGTGCCCTTCCCCCTCCCCGCCTGCCCGGGCGGCGCCCCCGTGCCCCCCGTGCCAGTCCCCTGTCCCGCAGCGCCGCTCTCCCGTGCCCCCGTGCCCCTCGCCCCAGCAGCGCCGCTCGCCGGCCTCGCCCTCCTGCCCGTCGCCCGTCCCGCAGCGCCGCTCGCCGGTGCCGCCGCCGTGCCAGTCCCCCAGTCCGCAGCGCCGCTCCCCGGTGCCCCCCAGCTGCCCGGCCCCACAGCCGCGGCCGCCGCCGCCGCCGCCGCCGCCGCCGGGGGAGAGGACGCTGGCCGAGCGCGCCTACGCCAAGCCGCCCAGCCACCACGTGAAGGCCGGCTTCCAGGGCCGCCGCAGCTACTCGGAGCTGGCAGAGGGCGCGGCCTACGCGGGCGCCTCCCCGCCCTGGCTGCAGGCTGAGGCGGCCACGCTCCCCAAGCCCCGGGCCTACGGCGGCGAGCTCTACGGCCCGGGCAGGCCGCTCAGCCCGCGGCGCGCCTTCGAGGGCATCCGGCTGCGCTTTGAGAAGCAGCCGTCTGAGGAGGACGAGTGGGCCGTGCCCTCCAGCCCGCCCAGCCCCGAAGCGGGCACCATCCGCTGCGCCTCCTTCTGCGCTGGCTTCCCGATCCCGGAGTCGCCGGCCGCCACCTCCTACGCTCACGCCGAGCACGCGCAGTCCTGGCCGTCCATCAACGTGAGTGGGGGCCGCGCCTTCCGCCCTCCCCGCGGCTGGAGATAGAGGGCCTCCTGGCACCCCCTCATCCTTCCGCTTGGGGACCCCGCCCCTCTTGGGTGTCAACAAGCAAACCATTCACACCTGACAGGCAGGGCGCCCCTCCTTGGACCCTGGCCCATAGATCCTGCTTGCTTTTGTCGGGGAGAATTAGTGCCTGCACCATTAAGATTTTCTGTTCAGCCAAGGTAGGAGTATGGTCTTCAGAGTGACAGTCCTGACTTTGATTCCAGACTTCACCACCTAGTAGCTGTGGGGCCTCTTGCAAGTTATCCTCTCTGATCCTCAGTTTTCTTATCTGCAGAACGGAGACAATGATTACATTGTCTGATTGCCTTACAGGGTTACTAAAAGGGAGGCAGTGAGCCTAAAGCAGTTGGCACGGTGCCTGGCTCAAGCATCTGCTAGTGTTTTGGTGATGGCGATGGTGGCTACTGATCACACAGGGACAGGCCTGCTTATCCAACTCTTTCCAGGCCTCAGAGTCCCTGCTGTTTTCTGCCTGTCCTAGGAGACAGAATTCTATCTCAGGGTTCCATCATTTCACTGAAATAACGAGTTTCCTGAATGTCAGAGCCACCCCTTGCAACCTGGAAGGGCCAAAGTATCCTCCAAAGCCAGACAGAGAGTTATTTTGGGGCTGTGCATTGTTTTGAGTTATCTGGGAGCTGTGTCGTAGTCACTCTGGGACATGTCTGGGTCTGGGTCTTGCTTATCTCATTATTGCAGATGCCCTGGCACGCTCAGCAGTGACTCTCATACACAGCTCTTAGGGACCCTACACCCTGGGGCAGGGGAATGGACGCTGAGCGGTTGTGGGGAGGATGCTACTGGAGAAGGGTGCCCAGACCCCTTTGCATGCTGTGGCCCTCCCTCCTCTGGGTCCTAGGAAAGGGCAGGCTGGGATGTGGGGACTGTGGGTGGCGACAGGGAACCATAAGTGACTCTTCTCTCTCTACAGCTGCTGATGGAGACAGTGGGCTCTGACATACGCAGCTGCCCCCTCTGCCAGTTGGGTTTCCCTGTTGGGTACCCAGATGACGCGCTCATCAAACACATTGACTCCCACCTGGAGAACAGCAAAATCTAGGGCACCTCCCCCACCCACTGGCTGTTTCTCTGCCCTCTCCCATCACCCCCAAACACTCACTTTGAATGCTGCATGAATCTTGTGGGGGGCCCCTGCCCCTTGCGACCCCCAGATACCTCCACTAGCTACTGAGTCAACGTGTGTGCCGTCTTCCCTGGTCCAGGCACCACTCAGCTCTGGCTCTTCCTGGGAGGTCAGCTGAGGCTCCCCGCAATCCTGGCTTCTGGGCGAGGGGGAATCTAGGCTGTGGTGGGGAGGGGCATACCCCTCTTAGGCTTCTCCCTCTGCCTTTCTGTTCTTAAACAGGGCTGGATCCAAGAGGATGTCTAGTGCTTGGGCCTGGGGGAGGGGGAGAGTGTCAGAAGACTCCAGGAGGTCCCGAGCCCCTCCCCAAATGTCCATCTTTCCTAGGCTGTGCTCTGTCCTGGGAACACCTCCCTGTGGGGTCCCAGAGCCTGCCCTGCACACGGATGCCAATTCCTCCATCCCATGGAGCTTGGGGCTCGTGGCATGGGCCCCCACTGAGGGAATGTGGCATCTTGTTTCTTTCCATTCCCTGCAGGCTGGCCCTGTGCTCTCTGCCCTGTGCTGCCCACTCTGGGGAATAGAGAGGGTGGGAGAGGAGAGGGAGGATCCTAAAGAGGCTGCCCTGAGGGCTGGGGGCCCTGCACCATGACCCTCAGGCCCGGGGACTGTCTGCCACAGGCCCATGCCCTCCTCCTGGAGCCTGGGGCACTGAGGCACAGATTGTCAAGGCAGACCCCCCCCTTACCCCACTCAAGCCCCTGACACCACAGGTGCCCTGGAGCCCATGTGTGACTCAGCCTCCATTAGCTGGGTGGGTGTCATCAGCCCCTGCCTCCCAGGCCAGAACCTGAGAATGGGCCCAGGGTGCTGTGGAGATCAACTTCTAAAGAGCTACCCCCTCCCCACACCCCACCCACCCACATTTCCTCTGTGAAATCTACCTCAGAGTTGTACCCTCAGAAGGACGGGTAAGCAGGAGGCCAGGGGGTCCCCAGGGCTGAGGTGGGGAGCCTCCTAGGTGAGAGCCTGCCCACCCCACAATGAATCCGCCTCCTCCACTGCGCCTCCCCCAGGTCTCAGCCCCGGGCAGGGGTGACAGCGCATGTCCTGCTCTGATCCAACTCTTCCAGGCCCCAGCTCCTCACACCCCTCCCCTCCGTAGTGAAGGGGTGTGTCAGGCAGGGAAGGGGCCACGGACTCCAGAGACACATGTCATTGTACCTTGAGTGTCCCCTAGGGAGGGGAAGAGGGAAGGGAGCCTGGAGAGGGGAGGTGGGGGCCCCTGTGCTATCTGAACAAGTCAAAAGTCCAAATAAAACTTACCTGTTCCATCTGCGCTAGGTCTGTGCCCTCCGTGGCTGGGGTGGGGCTAGGACCAGGAGGCCTTGGAAACTGTCTCAAGAAAACACAGCCATGGGAGGAGGGTGGGCTGGGTGAGTAGGGCATAGCCGGGCACCCACATTCAGAGTGGTTCTGGAGATCCGGACATGCAGGTGGGCACAGGTGACTTGTGACATGGAGCTTATTTAGAACAGATAAAAAGCAGCCACCCCACCCCTGAGCAGGTGTCAGGGGCATTTGAATTTTCCTTCCCAGCAGGTCTGTCTGGTAGAAGTGCTAAAGCCATGGGGTTCATTTATCAGTAGCAGCTATTTCTTCATCAAATGATTTTGCCATGTCAGGAACTAGGCTGGCGCCTCAAAGGGGAAGAATGCCCATGTTCCATGTCCTCATGGGTCTAAGAACAGGGGAGGGGCTGGACTCCAGGCTCAGCTGCTGTCTTGAAAGTCCCACAGCCTGGGAGGTCAGAGCTGGGTCATGAACCTGTGACTTCTGCTCCCGCCAGGGCTGTGCCCTCTGTCTGCAAAACAGGCTCGAGCTACTTATTTATCAACTGTGGCTGCCTTTCTTTTTCCATGTGGCTCTTTTTGGCTAAGGGTTCACTTAAAAAGGGGGGCAGGGGCAATTGCTCATTGAAGGCCTGAGGTTCAGCCCCATTCTAGACCCAGCTCTGGCAAGTGTTCCTTCCTAGTCAGTGCCAAGGTCCAGACCCCTGTGGGGAGACTTCCCAGTGTCCCATGTCCTCTGTCGCAGTTAACAACTCCTGCTGTCCTCCAAAAGTTCATCTGAGCTTGATTCTGTCTGCAGTCTGAGGATTCCCTCTGAGTCCTGAGTGCCAGGTAAAGTGGGGCCAGGCGTCCCTATGTGACATGGCTTCATAAGCCCTGGAAGAGAAGGTTCTGGAACCTCCCACATGTGGGTGCTCAGGCCCCCTGCTATTCTCCCACCTTAGTCAACTCCCATGGAGGAAGGCAGCCCCCCAGTTTCTGGATCTGGGTGCTGTTTGGATCTCTGGAAGCACTTACGAGATGGGTGTGAACGAATAAGGGGGGGTTGGGGATGCACAAAGCAAAGAGGAAGTCCTGGCTGTTGAGAAAAGGAGCGAAGGATGAGTGGGCAGGAGCTGACACAGAGGCAGGGGGATGACCTGGGTAGCCATTTCCCATCCTGAGCGTGTCTGAAGGCGGGAGGGAACCCAGGTATTCCGCAACCTGTATATTCCCCTGTCACCAGGGTGACGGGGAGCGTGGGGACATAGGGTGCAGATTCTGGCAGCTTGTCTCCTCAATTTCTAGGGCCCTGGGAAAGGGCTCAGGTGCAGGGTGGAAAGTTGCTGGGGGCTGGGAGGGAAGGCGGGGAAGGGAGGAAAAGCTAGTGTGCCCCAGCCCAGGCCCCTAGAGCTGCAGCTTTTTGTCCAGTGCCCCCCCAAAGGAGAGGGCATAGAGGTGGGAGAGCTGGGGAGGGGCTGGGGAGCCCTGCCAACGCACATCCCTTTCCTTCTCTCAAGCGGGTCTGTGATCAGACACAGGGACACTTGCACTCATTACTCTGTGCAGACGGGGAGGGGGCACCAGGGCCTGAGAGAATGTGGGAGCGAGGGGGTCCACATGTCTAGGCTCCTGGAAAGGGGGAGAAGGGTGGGGCAACTTTTGCAGGTGCAAGGTGGAGGGAAGGCCTCTGTCAAGGCTGGAAAAGACACACCTGGGGGACCTACTCACTCTCCCCAGCACAGACCCAAAGCTGGACACAGCAGGGTCGGCGAAGATGACTTCACAGAGCCCAAGCCATCCGGGGCGTGTGTCTATGTGCTGAGATACCAACATCCAACATTCTCTCCAGCTGTGGCCTCTCTCCCCGCTGCGTTTCCCCAGCCAGAGCTGCCAGGCCATGGAGACCCCCGCCCTGTCCTGGTCCCTGTGCAGGCTGTGTCAGACGATCAGCTGAGGAGAGCGACGGCTCCTTTCAGAAGCTGGTGGTATGTGCGCGCCGTGCGCAGGAGAGTGTATGTCGGGAGAAGCTGTCGCTAACAGAGGGGGTGTGTGTGGGTGAGTCAGCCGTGTTAATGAGAAACACCTCACCCAGCTGATTAGGACTAATGAAGAACAGAGGGAGTGGGGATTTCACTCAGCAACCTCTTTATGGGGTAGGGGGAGCAGGACAGCTCCCGCAGTCCCATCTCTCCCTCAGCAAGGCCAAGAACAGAGCAACTTTGGTGGCCACAGGAATAATTGAGGCTAGACACAAGGATGAACCGTCGAGGGCAAGGAGGTCCTGAGTGGGGACGGGCGGGGCGCGGCGTCTGGACAGAGGCCAGGTACTATGGGGAGAATGGGAGTCCCCCAGGACCCTGCCCCATTCCTGCGCTTCCTCCACTTTCTTTATTTTGACTCCAGGGGCTGGCTGGTTGCCCAAGTGCCTTTTGAGATCTAACCTCTGCAGAGGGCTGTGAGCCGTGTCATTCAGAAGACTCCAGTCTGTGCCCTTCCCGCAAGCAGCCTGGGCTAGAAGGCTCTGGCTTGAGGCACTTACTGGTTTGTGGCATTCGCTGGCCATGCAGATGCCATGCGGCCCTGTAGCAATGACCTAGTGAGGCCGGCAGGGCTGAGGGCAGGAAGGGACTGGGTAGGGGAGGACCTGGGTGTCAGCTGGTGGGGACCCACCCTCCATGCCAATTCAGCCAAGGGCAGGGTCACCAGGCACATCTCACAGAGGTCCCAGTTGGCTGTGTGAGTGTGGGCACAGGGGGAGGGATGGGAGGGGCTGGGGGGACAGGATGGGTGTCGGCCAGCACCTCCAACACCTCCTAATTTGCATTACCACTGACACCCTTCTTGACCAAGAAAATGGAGCCAGAAATAACAAGGGGGGGGGAGGTGGTTCCCTTGCCGGGGACTTTGGGTCTCTCTTGCCTTGCCTCCAATACTCCCACGGTGCTGGGGGCGGGTCAGCCCTACAGCTGGCCCCTGGGCAGGGGAAATGCACCCACTGTTGCACATCTGTTCCCAGATTAGGCAGACACCCCATTCCAATTTCTCACTCCCTTGGCCCCAAACACTCCAGCCCTGACTCTTCCCTACTTTGGAGACTGCTCCACCCTCCCTCCTCAGGGAACCCTCTCCTTGGGGCCCCTCCTGCAGCTGTGACAGCCCCAGCTCTGCCCAGCTGGGGAGTTGTCTCTGTCAGGGTTCTCCAGTCTGCTTCCTGCCTCCCCCATCAGATTGGGCATTTCCCAGGCCCAAGTTCTGAGCCTCCCTTGCCAATCTGGGAGCAGCTCAAGGGTCCATTGTACATGGGAGACAGGCCAAGCCATGTAGCAGGAGAGATTGCAATTGGATCCTAGAGATGGCATGAGGCGAGACTGGGGCTGTGTGGTGGGGGCGAAGAGGGACCTTCCCCCATCCCCTGGGGACTCCTGGCTTTGTTAGAGGCCTCTGGTCCACCTTTGCTTGGAGGTAGTTTTCAAGTGTCAGGACCGGGACTGTTCCAGGTCACCATTTCTATCTCCTGCCCCAGCGACTACTGTACAAACCCTCACGGATGCATTTGATGGTCAATTTATGTGCACTGAATTTACTTCTGTCCCAAGGAGGGTAGGGAATAGCGTGACAGTCACAGCTTGGAGGCAGAAGTGGTGGGTGAGGAGAGGAGACTCCCTCTCCCAGAGGGGTCCTGGGACCAGCCGGGTGAGCTGGCGCGGGTGGTGGCAGGGCAGAGGGCCGGGCAGGGAAACCAGGTCGTGAGAGACAGCAAGAAGCTGTGAACACACTGTGGGAAGGAGCGAACAGTGAGCTGAGAACTACCTCACTCCTCCCTCCAGAGATGCTATTTTGGGGGAGGGAATATATGCAGTGTAGGGGGCAGGGTGGGGAGAAGGCCAGCCTCCGCAAGGGGTCAGCTGGGCCACCACTGCCTGCACCCATCCCCGGCATCTTCACTGGCCCTGGGCTCCCCCAGCACTTCCCTCCCCACTGGGAAAGTCCTGTTCCTTTGAGTGTGAGAGCAGAAAGGAGCTGGGAGATTTGGAGCTGGCCTCTTGGCACCCCATTGGGGGTCCCTGAGGCCTCAGACCTAGGGAGAAGTTTCTATTTCCATCACGTCCTTGGGATGAACACAGCTCAGCAGGCCCAAGCACTTCTTGCCCCCAACTCCACACTTACGTGCTCTGCAAGGACCCGCCTTTAGCATCGGGTAGGGAGGGAGTCTGTTGTTAAAAGGGGGCCAGGGCAGAGGCGGTGGCCAGGGCCGTGAGCACCCTCAGGAGGCCGGGCCCCTCTGGATGGGGAAGCCAGCCCCGCTGCTCGGCCCGAGGAGGCTATATGGAGATTGCTGTCAGGCAGAGCCCTTGCCTGGCACGAAGGGGAATTCTTGCACCCTAGCTCAACCCTCTGAAGGGCCCTGACTCATTTTGGGATGCAGGCTCCAATGCCCTGTGGGTTTCTGTGGTGGTTGGGGCAGGGGCGGGCAGGGTGTGTAGATAGAGAGGGCGCTGGGGATGAGCGCGGACTTTTGTTTTCGTTTTTGGAGGTGGGCTGTTTCTCTGCCTGAGAGTCCAGCTTTACCTGAAGGGGCGGGTTGGCTGGGGTGGGAAGAAGGCCCCACTTCTAGCCTGGGAGGTGCTGAGCATGGCTGCGGAAGCAGGAACCTTGGGGTTAGACTTTGGGAAGCACTTCCTGTGAAGACATAGGGACACATTTCCAAACATGAACTGAGGGAGCCTTTTCCCTGGGTGTTTCTCACAGCAGATCCCTCCCTCTAAGGCTGGGGAGCTTGGCCTGGCTCTGGGGCGGTGTAGGACGGAGGCAGAGAGATGAGCAGAGGGACCTGCTGAAGGGGGTGAGGTTGGAAGGCTCCAGGCGGGAGGGCTGAGGGTGGGTCCAGGCCTCAGAACATGCATGCCCCCAAGCCAGAGCATGGGGTAAGCGATTTGAGGTGGAAGGCTACGCGTAGAGTAAGAAAGTCCCTCTCACTGTCCTGTCATGCTTTTCTTCTTCTGGCCTT